TTTTTTGCCTTGAAATGACTCCCGAGACACAGTGGAGGTAGAGAGCTTAAACAGCTCAACTACCCTCAAAGCCGAGTCCTCCAAACCTCAGGGTCTTGGAGGTAATACACCTTTGAAATCCCTCTTCTGATACCAAATATATCAAAGAACAATATCTCACACTCTGTTTGGAGTGAAAGTAAAGGAGTTTTACTTTATTTTTATGTTTTAAACTTTTTGTTGTGATTTGGGTGAAAGCTGACAGTAAATTGGTTTTTGATACAACAATTCATATTCATTTCATTTTATGACAATGATTGCAATTCCCACAATGTGCAAGCACTCTTCTCTCCACTTCTCCCTGTGTTCACTATTTCCATCCATCCTTCTTCCCTGTCCCTTCCTGCCTTCTGAGCTTCATCCCTGGGCAAATGCTACCCTTCTGAACTTGTGTGGTTGCTCTAAGGGGTGTGTACCTCCCTGGTGTTATCATTCACCTTAGAGCCCTATCTACTGTCTGGCTGAAAGTTGAGCCATGGTGGCGAGTTCAGTTCCAGCTTGAATGTTGTCTAAGGGTCATAGTCCTGGGGGTCCCATCAGATCTACCAGACCAGTAAGCCTGTTCCTTTTATGGCTTTGAGTTTTGTTCCACATTGTTCTCCCACTCTATCAAGACCTCTGTCGTGATCCCTTTCAGAGGGTTATCAGTGGGAGCTGGGCACCATCTAGTTCTTCTGGTCTCAGGGCCATGGAGGCTGGTTTACATGGGCCACTTCTCCTTCGGACTCGTTGTTTCCTTGCATCTTTCGTCTTCTCCACTCTTTTTTGCTCTGGGTGGGGAGAGACTAATAGCTGCCCCTTAGATGGCTGCTCATAAGCTTTTAGGACCCCAGGTGCTACTCACCATAGTAGGATGCAGGATTATCCTTGTGGACTACGTTATGCCATTTGGCATTGATGTGCCCCAAGACTCTGGTCCAAGTCCAGCAACTCATTCCCTCAAGGTGTCTGGTTGTGCCTAAGAAGTTCTCAGAACTTTGCCCTGAAAAGGAGTTCTACCAGGAATACTACTGCAGTTGGGCAGAACATAGTGGGATTCACAGTGCTCCAAAACACAGAACAAGAGAGAGGCTTTTTATAGAGAAGTTGAGGGAAACAGTGGCACTTTGGTGGCACAGTGCCTAAGGCATCTGACTGCTAACCAGAAGGTTGGTGGTTCAAACCCACCAGCCACTCTGCAGCAGGAAGACTTGGCAATCTACTTCCTTAAAGATTTACTGCCTCGGAAACCTGATGGGGGTTGCTATGAGTCAGAATGGACTTGATGGCAGTGGGTTCTTTTTTTTTTTTTTTTTTTTCCAGAGAAATAGTAACCATTAGCCATACACTAGTAACCACACAAGGAGCTCTGGTGGTGTGGTCCCTAAGGCATTGAACTGTTAACCAGAAGGTTGGCAGATTAAACCCACCAGCCACTCTGCAGAAGGAAGACTGGGCAATCTATTTCTGTAAAGATTTACTGCCTCAGAAACCTAAAGCAGGTGCTATGAGTCCAAATTGACTTGATGGCAGTGAGTTAGTAACCACACATCACATACCAGCTGACCCATGGACATCCGGGGGCAGCCCAACAGCAGCTGACTGCCAACCTCCTGGAGCAGCCTGCATGAGCATTTTATGAAATAGTGCCACCTATCTTTCAAGGACAGAGGCAGCTTGTGCAAAAGCAGCTGTTCCGAGAACAGCCACAGCCAGGCCCCTGTCCTGGTCCCCCCCAAGCAGAGCCGCTGAACCCATCGCTGTGAGTCTGGTGCAGACGCCTCTCGGCTTTTAGGTCCACCGCAGACCTCTGCACCTGGAGAGAACAGCCAGGAGGCTGGTCTGCCTTGTTCACGAACCCCATGGGCAGGTTCGTCCTCAGTGTTAGTGGGTGCAGGGAGGGCAGGGACAGGCCCTCTTTCTCCCAGGCGGGTCCCAGGCCTGGCTTCCACTCACCGGCCACACCTTCCTCCTCCAGGTGCTCTAGGGGCAGGCGGACAGAGTCGTGCTCCACGCTGCAGGTGATGAAGTGCGGCTTGGCCCGGTCACCCAGGGGCTGGTGCTCAACCCCATCTTCTTTTGCCGTCTGGTTTTCGTGGAAGTGCTTCACCATGGAGTGGATCACTAGGTTATTTGACTGCAGGGACAGAGCAGAAGCTGGTTACCAGCACTGTCCTGAGGGCACAGTGAGAGCAACAGGTTACGGCTGTAATCCGAGTCCCTGAGCTTCCCCTTTGCAAAGGCCAAAGGCCAAATGTTTAGGGCCTCCAAGCTTTCAAAGGGAGCTCTGGTGGCACAGTGCCTAAGGCATTTGACTACTAACCAGAAGGCTGGCGGTTCAAACCC